CAGCTACCACCGCCTCCCCCACTTGCATAACTTACGTGGCCAATCGAGCGGCACATCGTCCAAAAGTTATTTCGTGACAAACTCGAGGAGACAGTTTCGTTGCTCTACTGATTATTGTTAGTCATGTCTGTTCATCCCCTACTGGTAAGTGAGCCGACGAAGACGCGCACGGAGGATCTCTTACATATACTTTACAACTGTGCATAAAATGCTACCAGCTCCATCCGATTATCAAAACCTTACTTACTTTAGTATTATAAAAAAACTCGTCTTTGCGAAGACTACTGTACAGGTAGTACTTAAGAGACCACAGATGAAGTAGAACAACTACAAATTCGCAAGTACTTCTCACTTTAAAACAGTAAGCAAATCTATCCGGCGAAAATTCCAAAATCAAAAAAAAATTTCTTATGATCGTGTATACCATGGTGAAAAAAGGAAACTTTCAGAAATAAATTTTGCTTTAACCGCGACGGTCGACCGAGAACCATCAATGAATACCTGTTTCTCGGCGTAATATGAACAAAATTTTGAGAAAACAAAAAAACAGAAATGACAGTATATACAAACGGGAACACGACAGTGGCTGCATATTGCCACTATCAACAATGTGGCTTGTGGTATGACAATAATAGGCATCATAGAGGGATGACAAAGGTAGTATAGTAGAGTAACGATTATCATAACTATACTATTATTATCTGTGCTGTCGAAAGTCGTTAGTGCGACATACGCGGAATCCATACTGGCAGTACTGTAGTTGATACTAACGTCGATGTGGTGCTAACAGTTATGTTATATACCATTACCATAATCAATGCCACCACCGTCACATTATCAATATATTGCGAGGCAAGTTTTCAGTTATAACAGGAATGTGATCACAGTTATAATAATTATCAGATTCACAGTAATACCGTTAAAGCTACTAGTCATGAGGTAATGCTAATAGTGACTGGTGTACCAGCGACATTATAAATGTCATCACTGTCACATTATAAGTTGAATTCACTGTGGCATTAGTGAAGACATTTATAACAAAAACATGAAAGTGATAATAGTCCTAATAATTACTAGTTTACAATAACCATAATAAGCCACATTTTCATATCACCCTGATAACTAAAATCATATAAAATAACTAGCTGAATGTTAACAATCCGAAATCAGTAACTCTGCAATTCACAATCCTGAGTTTTTCTGAAATATCTGTGGATAATATGCACGGCCATTTATGATGCCTTTCCTACTCCATTTCTCTTCAACCTTCCATCGGCAGTCGTATCTTCTGACAAGTGTCCAATCAGAAAAGAGCCTCTTTCCGTCCCTAACGAAGGTAGAATGCTGAAACTAGTAATCGGAAGTTGTCTACGTCTCTTTGATGAGCACACTCGGTCACAGACTCTACAGGGTCACCAGAGAAAACATGTGAAACACACCCTGTTTCTATGCTTCTTATTCTTCAACTTCCATGGCCGTTTCTCCTTTCGGGTCGCGGAGATAGACGCGTTAGACATTTTATTATGGAGACAACCCACCAACTCCTGACTTCATTCCTTCTTCCTTCCCTTTCCTCAACTCCCTCCCTACCAACCTACGTATGCTGTATGAAAACGTCTTTCTGTACCTGATAATGCTGTACTGCAACGAAATTCGGATCGTTTCAATTTGTGGAATAGCCGAGTGTTTTTTCTGAGATTCGCAACTAGCTATCACGCCACTTTCTCAAACATCTGTAACTTTAGTCTTACAGTAGGCAGCCCTTTGAAATAGGAACTCCGTTTTGGGCCATAAATACTTTTATTCAAAAGAAGCAGATTCGTTATTTTGTGGAGAATTTGGGTGAAGAACGAGTTAAATGATTTTAACAGTTAATATTTCGGGATTTTGTGATCCGTTATGAGTTTCTTCATCAATTCTCCGATTTTTTTTCTCAATTCGCTTCAACTCTACCACATCAAGAATTTCAAACCCCAGAAAAATCTAAAATCTGAAACGATCTCGGTCCCAAACATTTCGGATTACAAATATTCACCTTGCAAACCCGGTCATGTAATTATAATTATAGAGACTGTGGTAGACAGTTGTACAGAAAATGACGGGGACCGCAGCACGCAACCGCTGTAACTGAAAAGACAGATATGGAATGGTGACAAGGAGACAAAACGGCTCCATGTCCGTCCGACTCAGCATACTCAGTGAAAACATCGTCATCGGCAAGCGAAAGCAATGCGATGAGACTCGTCGATCGATCGCGGTGTGGTAAAAAAAATTTCACAATCAACAGACCGTAGAACTTTTGAGCTCCGTCGATGATCGACTGCCGCCCCAACAGGAAAACTTTGGGAAATTAATAAAACAGGCAAATAAATGTTTCCCATCACTCGTATCCATATACTTTGAATTGACGACGTCATCACTAAAACAAAGACGTACGACGATGAGGACGAGGACGCTTCATGAGATGGTGCCCGTTGATTCGTTTTCGAGTGTCTGGCAGTTCATCAGTGCTCTTGCTGAGGTACGAAATGTCGAGTAGCTGGGGAACAGAACTCATCAATCATTCAGCTTGGACTTCAAACATGATAAATGGTAGCTTTCTTGCAAAGGTCCAGGAAGATGAAAGGCCACATCGATGAACGTGGTGCAAAAGCGGCTAAGGTTTACAAGCAAGCAAGCAAGCAGTGGATAAAATGACCGATAGACAGCGGTGTCTAATGTATTTTGTCGTAGAGAACTACACAACCTGGGTGCAACCGTTGCCGCATGAAACCCTGATAACAACCGTGAAGTCAACTCCAATGCCATGATCATCGATCCCGATTCATATTGCGTCCTCACACCACTGTAAATCCAACGAACCCTTGCCAACGTTAGACCAATCGATGCGAACCGAGAGGTTCTCACGATTGCGTCGTATCACAGGAATGGCACCACAGCCCCTCAGGCTGAGTCACGGCTTCGGCATAAAACAAACTTAGATGAATAGTGTCGAAGGGACTACCCACTGAAAGACCGAGACCGCACAGCATAAGAAATATATTCTCCTCAATCCCACAAAGGAAGCCGCAATCAAATACAAATCCAAAGAGGTGGTCGTCTTTATCAAAATATATATGATGAACAGTTCAGCCGGCGTTTCAATGATATTGTTGCAGTAAAAAGAAGGCAATAGAGATGAAAGAATAATGACGATGATGAAAAAGGAGCAACCGGAGGAGTCGGAAAAAAATCTGAGAAGACATGGAAAAAGGAGATGGAGACGGAGAATAAAAAGGCAAAGGAAAGGAATGAAGGAGGACAAGAAGGTAAAGAAAATGGGAAAGCGGAAATTTGACAAGGAGAATAAAGAGAACGAAATGCATAAGACAGAGGAAATAAAGAAGATGAGAAAATGATGAAGAAAATGGAGAAGAGAAAGATGAAGGAAAATAAGATGAAAGAAGCGACGAAGCAAGAGTAGAACAAAAAACAGGTGACGGAGAAAGTGAAGTACATGAAAAATAGGAATAAAAATGAAAAGAAAATGAAGGAGGCCGATGAGAAACAAAAAGAGAAGTAGAACAAGCTTGAAAGAAGAAGATGGATCTGCCTAAATTGCCGTCAACAAAAATTTATTCGCATCAACTTTTGGGATTACATGCATGTAAGGAAAGTATGTATACACGTTTAATCCGTACAAGATTGAAAAAGTAGAAGCAATAAAGAATGCAAACAATAGCAGTATGCCAGATGGAACCTATATCTGAATATCAAATCTGGAGGAACGGCGGTAAGTGACCTTAGATGGAACGGTAACTGACATTCCCTTGAAATGACAGCATTTGCTTCTGAAAGAATCCGTATACCTGTCGCTTCAACGCAGATGAGCCACTTTTCCGCTGTCGCAGGAAAACGCAAAACGTACAAAACAAAGACAAAAAATTAATATAAGTATATATAACAAGGTCAAGAATGTGGCGATTGACAGGACGGACGCTGAAGCGGACAACTGCAGAAGGTCAGCGTCTTTTCTTGCTGTATATCATATGTCTGTTTCGGATAGCCAACAACGTTGTACATGAACGCACAGATTTGCGAGACATTTACTAGCCTGTAGGACAATAACGTAACAGATTGCCGTTACGCAGTAATCGGGACTCGTAACTTGCAACTTCCGGAGGGGTTATCCGGAAATAACGTACAACATGGTGTGGATATGATCGTAACCGGCGACGGCAGACGACCATTCGTCGTACTGCCAGCTGGACATCATCTTCACTGCAGAGAAAATAGGCAAATCGTTGAGAGGGTGAATGAGGAAAATACCATTCCGATGGACCGGCGACTAACCAACCGCTATCAACTACAACAAAAGCGGAGGCATTCACATGTACAGGTACACACAAACAGAAAACGTGAATCATCAACTTCACAAACGTCGTGTCATCGCCATTACATTCTCCTCGCTACCTGGCTGAACTCATTATCATGAGATGATACGCAAGGCACATGAGGAACAGAAAAACTTGCGAATATGAATCACTTGTGCACATGAGCAAAGCATGCATCATCGCTCGCTGTCATTCGTCGTAGTCGTCGTCGTCACCATCGTCTTTTTGATGATCGTGGTCGTAACTGCCGTCGTCATCAGCATCGATTAATACATAATCATGGTGGTAATGCGGTACTGGTTGGCGTCGGTTTCTACAGGGGTGAATGAGACAGTGGACGACGACGATGATGGAGTCGACAGCAGAAAAGTAGCTGAGTGTAAGACCACGTCCAATCCGATAT